GGGGGAGAGGAGAGGGAGGGAAGTCACCTGCTGGAGGGCTGGGCACCCTGTCACTAGGGGCATTGGCTTGGTCTTGCTTTTCCTCTCTGCAAAAAATCCAAGATGTGCGTTTTTCTTGGAAAAACATGTGTTCAAGAGATTTCCTGTGTGTGAGTGTGTGTGTGGTGAAGGGAATGAGGTGATTTGACTACCCTGGCTGAGTCTGTGTTCTGAAAGAGATGAACACATTTAGTGATCAGGAGGTATCTGACTGCTGCTGATTCCCAAACCCCTGACCCTCCAGCAACCCCCATGTGCCTTGCCTCTGAGTGGAGTGGGCAGTGATCAGGAGTGGGTTTTATGACACAGCTGTAGCCATAGCAGGAGTGTCCCTCCATAGGATAGCAACTGGGCTCCAGGAGACCCAGAGTTTCTTGAAGTCTTTAGTTTCCCAGAGTACTCTTCACCTCAAGTTTGGGTCCCTGGGACAAAGCACAAAGAATTGGAAGGGTTTACTAACTGAGATCACTCTGAGTTGTGACTCTGTCCCATAGCCAGGGCATGCAGAGTTGAATTGAGGGTCTATGGCTGACACCATGGAAGGGGAAAAAAGACAAAGGCCAGTGTTTCAGATGTTCAAGGGAATTAGCCCCTGGAGAGCAGGCCATGCCAATGCTCCTAAATTCTGGCAGTATTATGTGGAAAATCCTGGAATTTTGACTAGAGGGCTTTTATTATTTTCACCATCTCAAATACTGTCCTATGAAACAGAAGGATCTCAAAGGGTAAGAACAATTGTCTACTCAATCCCCTCTGTCCTTTCCATCTCAGATCCATGACAAAGCAAGTTCAAGAAATAGACCCCAGTCATGTTCACCAGTGTTGAAATTCTTAAGGCATGCTGTTGAGAAGGATTGCAATGAAAATAAATTTCAAGTTCGCTCTTGGTTAGTTAGAACATTAACACAGAAATACAGCCCCCTTCCCCTTTCCCTCAGCAATTGGCAAAGTGAATTGGGATTGCTTGTGTCCAGCAGAATTTCAGTTACCTGCTTGGCTGAGGTTCCCCACAGGTAAAGGTTTAACTCTTTATCCCTGCTTTCTTAAAAATAAAACTTTAAAAGTCTCATAGTTCTCTGCCTTCCTTTAATGAGCAGACCACCCTCATATCTTCTTTTCCCTTTCTTTCCCCTCCCTGCCATTGCAGCAAACTCTCTCCTTGCCATGGGTGCAGAAGTAAAAAATAATGGTGGGACCTATATGTCACTATCATATACAGGAGTGGATCAATCAAATCTACTCCTACTCCTAATTTTGTCCCCATAGTCCCTGGTCACCCAGGCATCTTTGTAGAGGCAATCCTTGCTTTATAAAAGTGGAAGGGTCATTCTAGATCATTTTGTCCAAATATTTGGATTGTAATATGAGAAAACTGAGGCCCAGATAATGAAAAGGGATTAACCATGTACAAAAAGTCACATAACCATAGAGACCCAAACTAGAATCCCTGTTTCCAGGTTTGCCTATTTCCAGAAGGTTATAGGGTTGTTGTTTTTTTAGTGTGATTCAGCTTTGACTGGGAGTTCACAGAACTGCCAGCAGGTGGGAGTAGATTTATTTAGATACAGGATGTTCCCAGCTACTTGGAATCAAATTCCACAGGCAATAGGTTCCTCATTTGTCAGGGCAAACAAGACTGAAGCTTGAAGTTATAATTTTTGGGTGCCCTTGTGAGGATGGAGAGTGCCAAAAAGTTGATAATGATGATGAATTCACTTCTAGACCTCACATCCCAGAGGGCCCTCACAAGAAAAATAGTCCGAAAAGCTACACAAAGTACAAAAATGTACTATTAGACAAAAGTTCAAGAAATAGACCTCAGTCATGTTCACCAGTGATGAACTTCTTAAGGCATGCCATTGAGAAGGATTGCAACTAGTTAATATTTTAGAATATCCATAAATATACAAATTGAATGGACTCAAGCCTGAATATGGGATCATGGTTTAGAGGAAAGAGCACTGACCTGGAAGTTAACTCATCTGTGTTCTGGACCCAGGTCTACCACATGACAGTGAATATTCCAGTTTGACTGGAATATAGGGTAAGTTTGGAGTTAAACAAGGGGTAAGAGAGGTAAAAGACAAGGAATTAGGTAGAACTTGGCCTAGTGAGCACCACACACACAGTGCTCAATAAATAAATAAATAAATAAATAAATAAATAAATAAATAAATAAATAAAGCAAGAAAAAGAGTTTTGTACTTAATTATCCAAAAGAAGGAATTTGATTTTTATTTTAGAGACAACCGTAAGCTTTTTTTTTTTTTTTTTAAATTATCTTTATTGTTGAAAGAATTACAGATTCTTTTT